TGCTTGTGTGTTTCTTAAAATATCATGTTCTGGGACCACTGGGTCTCCCCCTACCTTTCACTGTCTCTTCGGGATAGCTTGGGTCCAAAAAGGAACTGTCCAAATGCTTCGGAATAGAAGGAGATCCAGGAATAACCTGAAAGTCCGTCTTCTCACTGCTAAGCCCCGCCTTCTTCCTTGAATACTTCTTGAATACTATAAATACCCAAGAAAGCAGATAGCTGGATCACAAAACATCTCAATTCAGAGTTCTCATTTGAGGCACAAATGACTAGTCTCAAATGATTATGTTTGGACACATGTTGTGAAGTCCCAGCTCCCTTGAGAAATCTATAATACTGGAAAAAGCAGAGGGAAAGGAAAGAGGACAGCCAGCAGTGAATGCACCTTTCAGGGACCGCGAGTGCTCATCCTAGAAATGTATCTACATAGATACATGTAGACTATGTATCTACATAGTCACTTTAATGTCAACACCAATCAGTCAGTTATTTCATTTATGTTATCACACAAATTCCTGTTATCCTATAAGACCTATATTACCCTTCCTATGCAGTTGCATTTAGACTCTACATATTTCAATGTGTGCACATATATGAGTTCTTGATAATTTGATTGGCCATTTTTTTGACACGGGCATCCAGGAAAAAATTAATTTATATTAACATCCGTATAGTTTCTTTGTTCTGTTATAAGAAAGAGCTTAAAAGAATGCTGTTTACTTTTACTTTAAGAATGATAATAGCAGGTATTATTAATGTTGCCCATATTAGAGTCTATTTGCATGTAAACAACTTAGTAATAAGAGAATGGAGTCTTTATAGGTAAGTGCTGAGCTACACATTTCGAACATATTTGGTGTTGGATTTGAGTGGCAGTCAATTAAAGAAACTTCCTTAGTATGTTCCCTTTCCCTTCAGTTATATATAACTGTGTTTATTGGGAAAAGAACATATATTATTGAAAAAAGAAATTCTTATAGGAACAACTCAAATGAGCTGAATTGGCTCAAAGGCCACCTTGTCTAAAATTCTGTACATAATGTACCAACTTGCCTGCTTCATTAAATCCCACAAACAGGCCATGAGAATAGTAACATTCTTCCACACAGATTCTCTATTTATTGAACTTGGATTCTGGGATGAAATTTTGAAAGCTATTTTGACTTACCTGTTTATAACTTTTATTGTCTGTGATTTCTTGTTGTAACTCAAACATGTATTTAATGCATCTGCATGAATAAAGTCTTAGGATATTTACAGTGTGGTCTAGTGTAGAGAATTATAGGAATATGTTAAAGTGGTATAATTTCTACCTGCAGAGCTGCCACCAGAGAATGGCAATGAGACATTTATATTTTGGCCCAAAGTACTTGATTCTAATGGTTTCCCCTTCCTGTTCGTATCTACATAAAGGCATTGGGAACAATTATCCAGAGATTTAGAGTACTGCCTCAATCAGTATACTGATGACACTGGACTCTATTTCTCCTTTCCACCAGAAAAAAGATTGTACAGATGTTTGAAAGTTGCCTGGAGCCACTGGTGACCAGATAAGGGCAAAAACCCTGAACCTAGATAAGATAAAATAATGTGGATAGATAGATAGACCAGGAAATTTGGAAAATGCACAGAGGAAGCTTGTGCTTCTTCTGAAATAACAAAATATATAACTTGGGAGCTCTCCTTGATTCAAGCCTTATCAAAAATGGCCTGAATGGCAAGGAAGGCCTGTCCCAAACTTAGGCTGGCATGCCATTTTCCTGTGCACCACTTGGAGAGTCCGAGCAATGGGTTAAATCAGTCTGGTTGCCCTGGGACTGAGGAATCTTTTTCCTTGGCCATTCCTCCTGGTGTTACTTGGCGCCAGAATTTTTCCTCAGTCTGCCCACTCAGGACTTGTTTTTGTGAGCTCCAGCATAATTTCCCCTAGGCTTGGATTCTTCTAGCTTTTTCCTTTTCTTTTTCCTTGTTATGTATTTTTTTTCCTTTTACCATAACTAGTACAGTTTGTTTATTTATTTATTTTTTATTTATTTATTTGACACATTTATGTGCCGCCCAATCCCGAAGAACTCCGGGCGGCTTATAAAAATAAATAGAAAAAACACATAACGAAACACATAACAAAAGAAACAGTTTAAAAACAGCAACACCTCCTACATTCATTCTAATTGGGGCTGTACCTCAACAGTGAGGTCAACAGCCCCAGGCCTACCGGAACAGCCAATTTTTTACAGCTTTCCTGAAGGCCATGAGAGTGGGTATGGTCCAAATCTCCGGGGTAGCTGGTTCCAGAGAGTCGGAGCAGCCACAGAGAAGGCTCTCCTTCGAGGGCCCGCCAGCCGACACTGGCTGACGGCAACTAAAGGAGGCCCAATCTGTGGGATCTTACTGGCTGCTGGGAGGTATATGGCAGCAGGCGATCTCGAAGGTACTCTGGCCCTAAGTCATGTAGGGCTTTAAAGGTAATAACCAACACCTTGAATTGGACCGGAGACCAATTGGTAGCCAGTGCAGCTCGCGGAGGACAGGTGTCACGTGGGTGTACCTCGGTGCACCAAATATCACTTGCGCGGCCACATTCTGAACTAAC